TGGAGATTCCTCAAAACACTAGGACTAGAGATCCCATTAAATCTAGCTATTCTCTTTCTGGGTATCTCCAGAATTAAAAACATTGTACCACAGCAATATATAGACACCTATGTTTATAGTGGTACAGTTTATAACAAGTAGACCTTGGAAACAACCCAAGGGCCCATCAACCAATGAAAGGATAAAAAAGATGTAGGTTTTTTTATACAATGGAGTACTTCTCTGCCATAAAGAAGGATACCGCGGAGACTTTTCTAGGAGAATGGATGAACCTTGAGCCCATACTCTTAACTGAAATACATCGGACACACGTGTGTAAATGCCACATTCTCTGGTGTGAGAAACCAAAAGTGTAAATAAGGACCAAAATGTATAATACGTATTGTGAAATAGGAGGAAATGTTCAAATGGGGAGGGGAACAAGGGAGGGGAAGGGAGAAGGGAAGCCGGAGGACAGAGCTCCGCAGCACAGCGCCTGCCTGGCAAGCTCGGTTCCGCCCCCCAATCAAAAAGGAAAAGTGAAAAAAGGAGAGAAAGGAAGGGAACCGTGGAAACAAAGCTTTTGTAAATGAGGCGAGGAGGGGTTGAAGGGAGGATAGCGGGGTGAAAAGCAAGTTCTGTCCTGTGAAAAGTTCTGTCCTCTGTGACGAATGTGATCATTACATCTAAAATGTACCTGTAAAACCTGATTAAAGAAAGAAATCCGGCCGTTGGCCTATGAGGCCCGCCTTCGTTTATTAATCACAGTTTGTTTTGTGGAATATTCAGGGGGCTTTCCCGCAGTCCGCACATCAGCACCCGCAGCAGAGACTGGCTGCCGCGGCGCTCGGGTCCCAGCTACGGCCCTCCGCCGCCCTCGAGGCCGGCGCGCCTCCTCCGCGTGGAGGGGAGACGCAGGCCGCGCTCCGCCGAGCTCTGGGGAAGAACGGCGAACTGGTTGCGTCGAGCTCCCCGAGGGCTTCCGCCGCTGCCGGTTCGGTGCTGGTCTGCCGGCCGGCCGGAGGAACCCATCTCCGGCACCCGGGGGCTCGCCCCAGCCGCGCGCACCCCGCAGCCTCCCTCTGAGCCGGGGCGCCCGTGCCGTTGAGATTGCGGGCAAACGCCTCGGGACGTTCTCCTCCCGCCTGATGGTGACCCCGACGAGGAAGGTGAGGCGGCTCTCCGTGCTGAGTGCGGCCTCCGGCAGGCCTGCAGACTGCTCACAGCAGGATGCAGAGAGGCGGAGTTTTAATTAGAATTTCCTAATTAGAACAGAATTGGAGGGGTTGCTTTTTTGGGACAGGCTCTCGCGGTGTAACTCATGCTGGCCTTGAATTCACGGCGATCCTCCTGCCTCGGTCTCCCAAAGTGCTGGGATTGCAGGTGTGCGCCACCATGCCCGGCTAGATTTGACTTTTAATTAGAATTTTTGAGGCTTGTGTTTGGGAATAAGGAAAAGATGTGGTCAGTTACAGATTTTCCATTTTTACTGCAAATTGAAATGCAAAGGGACAGCTATGCCCACAGAACCCGAGTGAATGGATTTTGAACCCAGTTCCGGCAGCTCCACGTTGCACAAGGGCGCAGGCCCGGCCCCAGCCGGTCTGGCAGCGCCGGCCCGGGGAGAACGGCGGTGCCACCGCGGTCAGCGACGTCCCGGCGTCGGCCTCTGGCAGAGCACAGCTAGAAACTCCTTTTCCTGGCAGGTTAGGGTGGAGAAGCTGTGCGGGCGAGGAGCGCCGGCAGCTGTGACGGCCGCCCCGCAGCCCTGCCTCACGCCGGCTCGCACCGAGCCGGGCCGGGGCGAGCGTTTCGCGCAGGGGCCTTCACTCCTCCGCAGTCTCCTCCTCTGTAGCTCGGTACAGCGCCTCGCCCGACCGAAGCTCGGAGGCGGCGGCTCGGTGGCCGGCGAGCGGCGGCAGAGCTGCGCCCGGCGGTCCGGCGGTTCGTCCGCGTGCGAGCTTTCGTTCCGCACGTCCCCGGGGGCCCGCCGCCCCAGCTCGAGCTGCGTCGTCAGGACAAACACTCCGCGTCTGCGTGCAGATCGCGCGTGGTCTTCCTCCGCCCCGTCCGCGGGTGGACGCGCAGCCCAGCGCAGCGGGTTTCTGTGCAGCCGAGAGGCGCGGCAGGTGCCCGGGAGGGTCCGTGGCGGGGGGCACGGAAATAACATCCCTGGCTGAGCTTTGCTGGCTTTAACTTCACCAGGTTGGAAGTCCTGTCCCGCAGCTCCCTGCTACCCACCTTGTGTCAGGGAGGCCAGGCTGGGCCAGGCTGCCGTGCAGTGCTGGCTGTGTGGCGGTGCTGGCCGGGGACATCAGCCACTCGCTGTCCACCTGCTGCCAGCCCTGGGCTCAGCCGCGGGCCGTGCTGATCACACTGCAGGCACCCTCCTCTGCTGGAGCAAGCTGTGGCTCACACAGCTGTGCCAGCAACACGAGCAGAGGTGCAATGCTCCAGATCTCTGCCTGCTTGAAGGTATCACGCATTCCTGGGGCTTATCTTTCGATCACGCTCTCCTTGCTGCTAACGAGTTGGAATCTTCCCAGGTATACTCAGAACAGTCTCCTCTCTGAATTGCCGGTTCAGGTCTCATGCATGGTCTTTCCATTAATTTGTCAGTGTGGTAAAGGTTAACTTTTGACTGTCACTAATATATAGAAACCAGTTGACACCCCTTTTTTGTCAAGCTCTCTGAAACCTGATTCTGGCAAGGGACCTCTTGGGCTTTCCACACTCACAAGCTCGCCAACAGCCGGAGGTCCTCCCCCTCTCCATCCTTTCGCCTTCACCTCTTGCCTCACTGCAGAGGTAGCAGCTGGTACGATGGTGACAGTGCTGAGGGAAGTCTTGCCTTCTCTACAGCTTCTACTATGCAGTGGTGAGATATGTTTGCTGCAAGAGAGGCTGACGCCAAGCATGGCAGTGCACACCGGTCATCCCAGCACTCTATGAGGCTAAGGCAGGACAGTGGCAAGTTGAAGCTCAACCCAGGCAAGTTAGCTAGACCCTGTTTCAAAAATAAAAATGAGCTGAGGATGCGGCTCATGGGAAGGCCCTGGCTTCAGTCCTTTGCTCCATGCAGAGGCAGAGAGGGGAGCAATTCTCATGGGCTTATCTGCCTCAGGCAAAAACCCAATTACCCCTGCTTGTCTCACTCGGTGGGACTCCCACGTGGTACTTCTAAAAGCTGCTGAGGTATTATCGGTTGTATTCTGACAGATACAGCGTCTGCTGGGCTCCACTCAGTTTCATGTGTGTGACTGTCATGGTCTCCCCAAGTCAGATAGTCAGAAATTGAATACTGAAAGTACTGGACAGAAAGGGCTTGTACTGCCAAGAAACCTATTCTTCAGACCACCAAACAGCTCTAAAAAAACTTGATGGACTTGATAACTTGAGTAAATCTTGCAACACAAGTAGCATGGGACACTGGAACATCACGTGATCACAACTGAGCTCACAGTTCTCCCGTTACAGGATGGTGGGTGATCGTCTCCCAACAGCAAGAGGTTGTGGAGGAATCCCTCCCTGCAAAATGAGATTAGGGAGATGTGTAAAATATGGGCAAAGGTGCAAAGTTTTGTAGAAAGCACGACCCGAAGGCTGCAGCATGCCAGTGATGATGCTTAACAATGCAGTGCCACATTTCCATGAAACCCTCAAAAGGAGGCAAAAGCAGGTGTGACTGGATAGGCCCCTGGTTAGAGTAGCATGAAAAGAAAAACCTTCACTGAGCCAGCAGACAGCAGGGACTCCGTGAGGGATGGCGGCGTCCTCACCAGCCACAAAGGTTTGCAGTATGAGTGCAGGGTAGTTCTTTTCTTTATATTTTGCATTTTATTATTTTGCCCTGTATTACAGTATTGTATAATCATTTTTATGTGAATTTTTTTTGGTATTAGAAGCATCCGTTACCATTTCTTATGGGGAAATTCACTTCGATATAAAAGTGTTTTGGATTATAATCATGTTCCCAGAATGAACTGTGCTCACAAACTGAGGTTTTACTGTATTTAAAAACCTTTCAATTTTGGAAATCAGTATTTCCAAATTTTGTGTACATTTATACAAACAGCAATGAATGAGGGAGTTACTAACACAAAGTTGCTGTTAAATATTATTACCCATGCTCAGGAAGAGCCAAGTGCAGGTGACAGGCCATGGGTCCTGTCCCAGCTCCTGCTGCAAAGAGCAAAAGTTGCTGTGCATCTCCTACTCAGCATGAGAATATCTACCAACGATGCTATTTTAAACAAGCACAGGTACAGAACATGCTGGAAAAATTTGGAGCTGACATTAAGAAGGTTCTCCTTGCCAAGAGAAAAAGACTAGAAACATATACCAAGGCTTCTTTCAAGTCCAGTAGTCAGAAAATTGAACACGTTTGGAAAACACAAGAACAAAGGATCTTGAGTTTGAAGCCAGCTTGGCGTACCTAGACCTGTCCAAAAAAAAAAAAGAAAGAAAGAAAAAGAAGGGAAAGAGGGAAGGAGTGGAAAAGATACTTGGCTTGACTTTTCTGAAGAAACTTAACCAAGAGTATCCTGAGCGGTTTCTGAATGTGTTTCAGCAGTGGGACACAGATCTGAAGAAAGTGGAGGAACAAGAAGAGAAACTGGTGTACTGCCACAACAACAAAAGGTTTGTCAACAATCTAGAATTGTTCAGAACCGGAGACTGAAAACAGTTGGACAATTATGTGAGGAGCAGCTATTCCTAAATTATTTGTGACAAGCTTTCAGCTCTTCAGGTTTTTTTTTTTTTTTTTTTTCGTCTTTTTTTTGAGACAGAGTCCCCCTATGGAGTTCAGACTGGGCTTGAACTCACTTTGCAGCCCAAGCTGGTCTCAAACTCACAACAATCCTCCTGCCTCAACCTCCCGAGTGCTGGGATTACAGGTGTGCGCCACCACACGCGGCTCTTCAGCTCTTCAGTTGTAACAGTGAATTTTTCTAACACTGTCTATTAACTTTTGTCAATAAAGAGTATTCAAATTTTTTTAAAAAAAAAGCACAACCAGGTTAGTTCAAATAAATACCCTTTATTAAAGAAAAAAAGGAATATTGTTAAGCACCAAAACTGTATGTTATTACACTGCATGTACAATAAGAGAAAGGTGATTGCAATACTTGGTGGACAAGTACTTAACTCTAAAGTCAGGTGTAAAAAACATGAGATACAAAGCAATACAGTAATTACAATGCAGAAAATTTGCACTGATGAGCAAAAGGCAACAGTCAAAACAATTATTGTAGATTTCATAGTATTGCTATAAATGCTTGCTTAGTGTTTTCTTTGTACTTTTAATACTTTAGAATGTTAATTGAGCATATTTCTTATAAATCTGCGGGAGGTGCACTTACAGTCCACTATGCACTGTCCATTTAACGTCATGGAGAGAAAGCCATCCATAAAGCCAAGCACAATGTGCTAGTGTTTCTGCTTCTACCTTTATAGTATTGCATAAAGCTAGTAAATGGTGAGTCAGTTTGCCAGCATAATTTTCATTTACCCAGAGTGGGTAGAAACATGTCAGTTTCATTAGCTCTAAGGGACTTTATTCATGCAAAATGATCTGCAGCCTTCCATGTGTCATAAACTACGCATCTGGCTCCACCCCTGGCAAGACACACAGCACAATGAGAAATCTCATGAGCCAACAGGGTTCTGTCAAAAGGCCCAGAGGCCAGAAGTCACCAAGTTGCACTGTCTGCTCATCTTGGAAATGCTGCCTGGTGACTGTGGAGATCTCTTACAAATTATGAGTACTGGGGCAGCTGGAATAGCTAGCGACATCCTTTGATAGTTAACAGAGAACATGCAAATTTAAAATAAAAAGCCTGTTAAATAAAACTCAGCTCAATGCCCATACTTCATCTAAACATCACTCTGCATCTTCCCTACACACTGTAAGTTCCCCATCAGAGTCACTCTCGGCTGTAAATGAATTTAAAAGAACAAAAACTTCTCTCAAAACGTGATTTTCTTTGAGATCCAGTGACTCATCATACCTAGCGGCCATGTGGATCTCAAAGAGGTATGCTCCATGCACACACCCTACAGCGGCACAGGAGCCGTCCGCAGAAGCTGGCACAGACATACACTTGGAATTACAGCCTACACAGGCCATGTAAACTGTACGTTTACTCTGGCCCACACAGGAAATTTCAGAATCGACACATCTTTGAAATAATTACACGGACAAACATTTCATGTGTGCACGCAGACAGTCTTCTCCCTCACCTTTAAAAAAACTGCTTACAAACATCGAAGTTTAGGCAACAATATAAACTCATTTTGCAGGGAAAACTTTTAAAGTTATACTATGTTTCTAGGATAAAAATAGTGCACTCTGTGGGGTCTGGGCACCTCCTGAGCCGCTCAGCAGCCACGCAAGCACTGTGCTGTGGAAGGGGCCCTCTCACCCCCACCCCAAGTGAGTCTGCTTGCTCAGGCCTCCAACACTAAGCACAGCTCTTTTTCTATGCTAAGCACTAAATTGGAAATAAAATCTGATTACAATTCACTTTATATTATTTATATTCAGTGCAAGACTTAGGTAAAAATACAGGTCCCTCTCTGCTTTCATTATCAAATGGTTGCATTTTAACAAGCTGTTTGTTTTTTGTACAAATAACCTGATAAAGTATAAGCAATTCCAATGCCCTGGCAGGCCCCAATAGTACTGCTTTAAAGGTTGGTGTCTGGTGCTATGTGCATAATACTTATTTAGATAATAAAGCTGAAAATCCATGTGTTTATAAAAAATTTTCTTCAGGCTAAAATAAAAGCATTGACTTAAATTAATACAAACATACTTGGTAATGTAACTTGAAACTGGTCACAGGGAATGTATAAAATTAAGTATGAGCTGCACTCTGACTCATGTAAAGGGTGCTGCCGATACGCTGTGTCCTGCTGACTGAAGAGCTCTCCTTCCTGTGCCTACAATGGCTGACGTGTGCTTTACCATGTAACACATTTTCATGGTATAACACGGCTGCAGGTATGGTGCCAAACCCTAGTTCAACTCTGAAGAAACAAGGGTCTCCCCAACGCAAGCAGAGGAGATGGCAGAGCTCGTGAATGGGGAGGTTCCACACATTCTCTGGAAATGCTGCACCTTGGCCACAGCTGCGTCCACCAGGACTCATAAAACTGCATTTCATAGAACGCTTCAGTTCCACAGTGAAGAACTAAGGAATTGTTTTTATGCTGCTCAGAAACTCAGTACGCCTGTAACTACACTTCAAAATAAACAAGACAACAGTTCATCCTCTAAAGTCCTCACCAGCCAAGCGTTTCCTCACACCACTGTGTGACAGCTCAGTCAGCCAGCCAGCAGGCGCTGCTCCTATCCATGCTATGCTGCTATACAGACATACATTTGGTTGCTAGTAGGGGAATATTTTAAACGGAAATTCAAGTGAGCAATAACATTAACCTCGAAACATCCTCAAGTCACGATCTACTTGTCTTCCCATTTTATACTTATTGCAATCAAGACCGGATTGGTAAATTAACTTCTAAGTTGACTCAGCAAGAGCAAGAAGTTGTCTGTGGATATACAAATGATATCTCAACATAAATAGAATGGTCAAATATTCTGAGCCATACAGAAAGTGCAGGCAAGTTTGGAAATGGAAACCTGATCATCAGTAAGTGCCACAAAACCAAATATATATAAATTTAACATTAAAGCCAAAGATCCTCACAGGGGCAGGGGGTTAAAATTTAAATACCCCAACACATGTTTTGTGTGGTTCTAAAACTGCCTTAAAGCCAGGGATATTGCTCAGGGTCACAAGCATCTGCTTGGCAAGTGCAAGGTCCTGAGTTTGATTCCTGGTACCAAAACAAAACAAAACAAAAAAAACCTGCCTTAAAAATCATAGTTTAACTAATAATCTTATCTTGATGGACAAGTGGCCCCTGGCTATTAGAAATTTTAATATAATTTGTGAGTAACTCCAAAGGCTACCATAATTTGTAATTCTGTGAAACTTGGAACTTAGATTCCCCTACCACACACCCACTGCTAGGGGCCTGAACCCAGGACTTTGCACTTAGGGGCTAGGACACTATATCCCAGCCCAAAGAGCTGGAGCCTAAGGCAGGGAAGTGCACATGCTAGGGACTTCCCCCAGCCCAGCCGACACCTGCACTGCAGGGGGAGGAGCAGCCCTCCCTTAGTCTTCTCAGAGCTGACAGTGTCCTGCACAACTGCTGTCTGATAGTGTGGGGAGACCGACCACAGGATCTTTTCAAGTGAGTTGTTTTACGTGGGCTCCCAGGAGAACACTAATGGTAGCAATTTTCTTTCAACATGTGAGGGTTCCAGGGTTTTTTTGTTAATTATTTTCTTCTAAAGTTGAAATAAAGTGAATAAAACTTAGGTTATAAGCAAGCATCCAAAACACTGGATATGGAATCCATGCAAAACTGGATGCATAAAACCAATACATGATTTTTACTAAAAGTTTCTAAATTTACTTTAAAATTTTCCAAACATATTAACATTCTAACAAATGGTTCTTTGGATTAAAACCATGCTTTAATGCTTTATTAAAGTTATAAAGCATATCCACTCACACTCTCACCTTGGGATAAAGTCTGTGAAGTAGATTTATATTTCTATTCTTCCCAGGAGAGATGTATGAACTATTTGGGGACTGAAATCAGTGTTTGAAAATGCTGTACAGGAAGCTCCTGCTCTTATCAATATATACATGACCAACGTTTAAGCTGAAAGACTGTCACATAGAGGCTGTTGTCACAGTATCTCTCCACAACTAAAGAAAATTACATTTAAAAATGTCAATAATGTGAGCACTTGTTCTCCAGGAAAACAATACACTAAGGAACTTTGACTTTAGTTCTGCTTTCTGGGATCAGGCCAGAGTTTTGCCTTCTAAGATAATAAAATTCTTCTTGACATTTCAATCCTAACTCCCCCATATAAACCAGGACCTGTCTTGTGCAGAATTACACTCTGCAGAGTGCCACCAACTACATACATCATCTACCTTCATGCAAGCCCAGGACAATCCTGCTGATGACCCACGACAGAGGTACCTTCAGGCTTCCTTATAGCAAACCTAGAGCTGCATTCGTATGTTTAACATTCTTTGACAACAATAAGGTCTCTCTGCAAAGTCCCATTCAAAACTTAGAGAAAGGGAAATGCAGCCAAAGAACCTTTTCTGAGGGTCTACCTTCTGCATTTTTGTGGAGCACATGCTTTTTCATTGTGGAGTAAAATAAACACTTAAAAATGATATATGATAGAAACAGTTAAGATCTGTATCCCTATTACTGAATCTTGATTTTTGATTCTCAATAGAGAGTCACGGGTTACAGTGATCAAGCAATAGTTCAAACAAAAAGACTAAAAATAATTTGAAATATTATCAAATCATGAAGTATTGCTTCTCATAAACAAGGATACACATAAAATTCAAACTATTATAAATCCAGAATTATGAAAAGCTATTTAAAAGCATGGAAATTTCAAACCCTTACAAAGTATAAGACTGTGTGGCCTTCTAAAAATATGTCATTAAATGTCATGGTACACACATTACTAGGTGTCTCTCCAGTGGCTTTTCAGACGGTGAGCATCTTTATGAAGATTCTTTAGGAGTAATGTAAAAATTGTAAGTGCATTTCCATCTGATTTGCATTTACTTTCTGACCTCTAGCGTCCCCAACAGCTCTTCTTCAGAGTGTAGCACTATTTCTATAGCTGATCTGGAAGCAGCTCTGTATTTTCAGCAGTTGTCTCTCAGTGTACTCAAAGATGATCATGAAGCAGTCCCCAAACAGCTCACAGCAGACTGGGTTGCCCAATGTGCTTCCGGTTCACCGAGACCCCGAGTGTGACTGACACCACAGGGTGCGCTGGGTGTGGAAGAGAAAGTTGCTTCTTGCTGCAGCTGGCAGTGCTGCCGCATGTGCGCTCCTCGCCGTCTGCCGGGGTGACCAGCAAGGAACTGCCAGCTGTGCTTCGTTTCTGTTTTTCACACCACTTGAGTCAACATACTCCGGATCTAATGGAATCCAGCTGTGGGACAAACTGCTTCACTATTGTTATCCAAAAGAATCAGAACCAATCTTTACCTGTAGACAGCTTTCTTCTCTCAAGTCACCTGTCTGAAACAAAATAATAAAGTGTATTAAAAAAATGCCTGTTTTTACCGACAGTGTGTCTGCATGTGCCCTCCTACCCTTTGCAATATTCAAGGCAAATGTGGGCTTCTTTCTTTAAATGCCCATTTATACAGTAGGTGTTATGCAGGAGGCCCTTTGAAAGGACTTTTTTTTTTGTTACCAAAAATCAAACTCAGGACCTTGAGCTTGCCAGGCAGGCACTTGTGCCACTGAGCTATATCCCTGGCCCCAAAAAAGAATATGTTAAAAAAATATATATAGATTGTGATCATTTAAAAAGAGTTGTTACAATCATTTTCATTTCTTTTTCCAAATGTCAAAACTTATTAAGGAATAAATTCAATCTAAAAATGTACCCCAAACTGCCAGCAGGGTAAAAACCATTCAATGATATCTTTAAAATTCAATACAGAGACTGTTTTTTTTTTTTTTTTTTTTTTGAGACAGTGTCTCTCTATAGTTCAGGCTGGCCTTGAAATTACTTTGTAGCCCTCAAAACTTCAACAAGCCTCCTGCCTCAGCCTTCTTAGTGCTGGTGATTACAGGCATGCACCACCATGCCTGGCCTATTTTTGTTTTAATGACATTTAGGGGACAGGATAAAAAATAGTCTTTAAATCAATACTTTGATGGGTGCAGGATGATAATCCTGCTTGGGAAGCTGAGGCAGGAAGATCACTGCAAGTTTAAGGCCAGCCTGGGCTACATAGAAAACTTAAGGCTGGTATGAACTGCATAGCAAGATTGTGTCTCCATTAAGCAATCAATCAACTTTAAAAAAAAAAAAAAACAACACTTTTCCAGAACTATTTTATTATTCAAAGTACTATGTTAAGATATATGAGCTTACCCAAGCACAGAAATACACACACAAAAGACCTATCTATCAGACAGGAACTGACATGTGTGTGAACAGACTACAGCTACAAGCACCTGAAGTGTGTGAATGAGAGATTACATTTTTAATTTAAAATTTAGCAGCTCAAACCACATAAAGTATTTTCCCAAGGAATAAATTTTTGTTTTGGTGGGACATTTCACTTGAACCATGAAATACATCCACACTGAGAAAAGTGCTGTTAGTAAATGTGAAGTAAGGACTGCACAGAGAAGCAGACCTGGATTTTGAAGACTTCACACTCCCTCAGAGCTGTGTGGGCTGGGGCACCACTCAGTGTGACAGCAAGGACTGCAGCCGTGCATGTGAGGTGAAACCCGGGCTCCATTCACAGATGGACGCGGGAGCAGGAGGGGAGGAAAACACAACAGCACTGGATTTTACACAGGCTGCATATGACAAGGTACTATTTTGGCTCCACTGTGTCAAGTAAAATATTAGTAAAATTAATCTCACATGTTCATTTTTACTTTCATGTGACTCACACTGTACTTCTAATGCACAACATTATTGCTTAACAATTTTAAGAAAAATCCTATAGGAATCACAGTGGAAAGTGGTTACAGTCTGTAACTAAACGCATTTCCTCATGTCTACAACCCCCGGGGAAGGAGGAAAAGGGGAGCAGGAGCACTGTTAGCTGTGCCTGCTGCTCCCTGGTGTGCTCAGTGCTGGGGCCTCAAGCAGGAGCCCCAACCTGGACCCTCACTCTGTACTTCATGAGTTTTAACCAACTCGATATGTTATGCTTTGTTTTTTTTTTTTTTTTTTGGTAACGGGAATCGAACTCATGACCTTGTGCTTGCCAGGCAGGCGCTTGTGCCACTGAGCTATCTCCCCGGCCCAAACTCGACATCTTAAAGCATGTAAAAGTTTAAAATCTTTAAGAATACAAATATAAATGACAGTTAAAAGCTTTTGACTATTATTCTCCAATCACAAAGCAGTGACCCACCACTCCTCTAAGTTGTCTGTGTATAACTACAGTAGTCTACAGTCTTTACAGAGTGAATCTGCAGGCACCGGACCTTGTACAGTACGGTAAAACACATAGCCATGAACAGCCACCCCCACACCTCCCAACAAAACTCTAAGAAGCTTTCACAGTGGCATACCCATGCACGCTGCTTAGTGTTTGAGATTAACACTAACCACATAGCCAGCAGCCATAAACAGCCCTTCTGCCAGGTGAGTTACAGAGTGCCACTGCTTTCTAATATCTCTGTGTCTGGCAAATCTGGTGGCGGGAGAAGACAGTCAGGGCCGTGCAAGGAGAGTGCCAGAAGTAGGCCATGGCAGGCCAGGAGTAATGAAAGAACTGAACACTGTACACACATACATGAAGACCCAGCTGTGGAATTAATTACCAGTCAGTGACAAAATAGTATCTTTAGGTGCGGGCTTGAGCAGCAACCTGAAAAGTTACAAGCAGGAGGAGACAAGTAACAGTAAGTAGCAAGAAAGGTAAAGTGGAAATGATTTTATATATGAAGTAGATACACGCATACATACACATGTGCACTCTTCTACAAAGCAGAGTGTCATATGGACAAGCAAAGGGTTTCAAATTATTTTGGGATCCAAAAAACCAGAAAGCCATATAAAATGATTATAATTAAGGCTTCTGTATGTAACAGCCTTGACCAAAATACTACTGCACAGAATATTACTGACCCTACACTAAATCACAGTGAGGCAATGTGGACCAAGAAGATGGTCATTTTTATGGTGTTAAGAGTGATGCAGGTGTCACTGGGGTGTGGCAGGTGGAGAGACACTAGAAGGTCATTTCCTGACAGACACATGCCCAAAGGAAACACGAGACAGGACCAAAGAATATCGTTTGATACAACCAAGTAATATTGTTCAGAATGTACCAATATTTAAAAACTGACATAACTGACATTTTTTGTTCCAAGTCTTCAAAATCCAGTTGTGTATCTGCATACAACTTAAGACTCTCTAAGCCAGAAATCTTCATTTTTAACAAGTTGCAGTTAGCTCTTGAATGAATACTGTTAAGAATCACAGTGTTAACCAGTATGTTAAAATATCCTTAATTTCCTTCTAGAACTTTGGTCTTTTTCTTTTGGTCAATGCTGTGAAGAACAAACAAAAATAAGGACACGTCTGCACAAGATACTGCAATTTTGTTGTGGTAATTACCAATCCTGTACACTTCATTTATAGCTTGTGGTATCTGTAGATTCAATAATTTGTGCCACTTTACGTACTGTAGCTAGCTTATTAAAAGGAACGCCACATGTGCAAGCAAAGATAATGTTAGCAGGCATGGAGCCTCAAGATCATTATGCAAGTCTCCTACATTCATGAACTACAGCCTTGAATGTATGTAGACAACGCAGTAATTGTGATGTGCTAGAGTAGTTTTAAAGATTTAGAAAGCTACATGATCAGTGGGACATGGTGGTGCATGCCTGTAATCTCAGCACTTGGGAGGTGGAGGCAGGAGGATGGTTGAGAGTTTGAGGCCAGCCTGGGCTACAAAGTGAGTTTAAGGCCAGCCTGAATTACACAGGGAGACCGTCTCAAAAAACAAAACGAAACAAAAAGAAAGCTATATCCTTAGCAAATGCAGTAATTTTACTAGACTGATTTGAGAAACTCTTTTGCAGAAAGCTAATACATCGAAACTCAAAATGTGTAAGCAAAGTATTTCAGTTAGAAAAAAGCCTTTTTTATTTAAGGCAAGAGTGAGATTGTCCCTTTACTTGGAATATAGCTTCACTGTAGAAATTCTTTTTTTTTTCTTCTTCTGGTATCAGGAATCGAACTCACAACCTTGTGCTTACCAGACAAGGTAAGTGCTGTGCCGCTGAGCTAAATCCCCAGCCCCCACTGTAGAAATTCTTAATGAGCAAAATATAAAAAAAAAAAAAACATTTAGATATAGCCCTTAAAAAGTGTTTTTTGCCAGGCGTGGTGGTGCACACCTGCAATCCCAGCACTTAGGAGACTGAAGAGGATAGTTGGGAGTTTGCCTGGGTTGCAAAAGTGAGCTCAAGGCCACCCTGAACTGTATAGGAGACCCTGTCCCAAAAAAAGACAAAATAGATAGATAGATAAATAAATAAATAAAAAGTGCTTTGTGTGTTCTATTAGTTTCAGTAAACTATAGAATTAAGATCTGAACTTCACACGTCTGTGATCCATTCTACGGCTGGGCTGTCTAAATGGGCCCCACCAGCCAATACAAGCACTACTACTGAACGCTGCCAAAGACAGCGGCATTTACTTGTCAGTTCTCCCAGTCTGTACAGGGTAAGGCCTCCTCCTCGTCCTCCGACTCGGGGGATGCTTCTTTAATTCTTCTCAGCGCTTCATGGATGCTCCGTGTGAGGGGGTCTGTGTCGGGCAGCAGTGTGAAAGACTCTCTCAAAACTTCTTTTTGTACCTTCTTCAACTTGACACCTTTCCTTATTTGTGCCAAGATATTATTACTATCATCTTCATCAGGGAAAGGAGGCAGAGTTCGTTGTTCAACCTTTCTCAGGTGAAAACTACCACGCTTCAGGGATGCTAGCACTTCATCCATGGGCGAGCTCACTTTGGAAAATGAAAGAGAACAATCACAGTTAGGACTGTGCTTCAAGTCAATCTCTGTTTGTTTGTTTGTTTTTGTTTTTCTTCCGGTACCAGGAATTGAACTCACGACCTTGCGCTTGCCAGGCAGGTGCTTTGCCGCTGAGTTAAATCCCCAGCCCTAAAATAGGAAGTTTTTTTTGTTTTTTGGTACCAGGAATTGAACTCAGGACCTTGTGCTTGCCAGACAGGCACTTATGCCACTGAGCTATATCCCTGGTGCTCTCAAGTCAATCTCTGAACACTAGCATCCTGGACTATAATAACCCAGATGTGGAAATTCCAGCTACAAGTGGAACCATCAACTGTGGGCAGAGGCTGTCAGAACAGACAGAACCCTGTTCCGCCCTCATTTAAAAACTCCTGACAATGAGAGGGCAGGCACTGCTGCTCCTCTTGCCATCTTCCCAGAGCAGAGCAGATCAGTGAGAAGACTGAGCCAGAGGCACTCTCAGCATGGCTGCGGAGACTTTCCTGTTCAAACAGGACTGGGTTAGACTTCCACCCAAAAAAACATTCTCTCACTGTGCTGATTGTGCTTTGAAATTTTACTCACACTGTGGTAAGAAATAAAATAAATGTAAGATACAATTAAAATGTAAGATGCAAACTGCCTTATATCAACTTGTCCTGGGTAAACTGAAAGCTTCTCAAAGGTCATGAAAGCTCTATGTCACACTAAACCCCTCCGTTATTTTTGGAGGAAACTTTACTAAAGGTATTTGACATGTAACAAATTGCACATATTCTCTCCATTCTTTGCCTTTTGTACAAGAACATAATAAAGTACTTAATACCGAAATATGACCAACTGTTACATGATCTTGCTAATGTCTCTCCTCCTCCACCCTCGGCCATGGTTGTAGTGATGGACCCCGGGCTTCACACTGAGCTGCACTCCTAGCCTTTTACATTTTCTATTTTAAGACAGGGGCTCATTATATTGCCCATGCTGAGCTTTAACTTGCCTCCCTCCTGTCTCAGCCCCTCACAGAATGAGGATTACAGGTGTGTGCCACTCTGCCTGGCTCTTTTGACACTTCCTTGAATATTTTCCCTCCTCCTCGCTAGTTCTTTGGACTGAATGTACTTCATACATTCAGGCAAGTGGTCCACTGCTGAGCTACACTCCCCCTACTTTATTTCCTAGTTTTAAAATCAGATTTTTTCTACAGGTCAAAATGAACTACCATCATAGGTCAAATGTCATTATGTCAGGAAACACAAACATGGCAATGACTCACGATGGCCCACATCTGTGTGTGTCTACATATTTGATGCTGCAGGCTGGTAAGAATTCTCCTCTGCTATGACCTTGAGACCAGGAGCTATCAATTAATGTCTTGAGGTCTATGTAGCCGGTGGTCACAAGAACATCTGCATAGCTTACCTCTCCTCCTCTGCAAGCCTTCTGCAGTCTTCCTGAGCTTTCTCCGGGCACTGAGCAGCTGGCTGCTGTCAAAGAGGTGTGCTGAGGGGGCGCTGGCTGACTTCGAGATCCTCTTCTCGGTCTCATCCTTCCCGGGCAGCCCTATTTCCAGTGTCTCTGCAGTGACAGCACTGTCCTTTGCAATAGGCAGAGGTGGAGGTGGTGGTGGGGGGGGCGGGGGCGGCAGGAGTGTGGGAGGAACTGGTGCTGGTAGTGGATGTGCAGTGACAGAATGTGGTCTGAGGTCATTACTATTCAAAAGTGGAAGAGAGGCAGTGGGAGGTGGTTCAGAGGTGGCCCCACTGAGAGGTAATGACACGGCTTCAAGTTGTGCTAGTGAAGAGTCTTCAAACTGTGCAAGGCTCCGGAGTCCCTGGGGTGCTGCTGCTGGCTGTGAGGGCCCAGGCTGGCCGCAGCCTCCCTCCTGCTCGCTGGGCTCTCCCTGTAGTGGCCCCGGCGCAGAGTCACACTGGTCCTCCCGTGGCACGGGGCTCACTGCACTCCTCCTCCTTGCGTGAGCCGGTCGTAACCTGGTTGACTTGAGTATGACTTGTCCAGGATACTTCTAAACAAGCAAAGGTGATCACAAATGGGTGTCACATTAAACCATGACATGCGAACAAATGCCTACTGATTTCCTCTTTCAACTCAAAAGTTGTTTTGGATCTTACTTGATTTTTCAGGAAAGTAATAAAACTAGAATACCAATGCCTAATACTTCTCCAGCAATTACCATAATCCTTTTATTATTTATCAGATATGATAAGGTATGTCAAGGCCTCATCTACTTAAGAAGCCAACTGTTCAAAATTAGATAGTATCAACAAAAATGTAAGGAACTAATTCAAATGGAAAAATAAATTAGATATAAAATATGCAACATAATAAAACATCTGCTACTGGTATTTTCAAATCTGCTATTTTTTCCTTTTTAAAAAAGGTTACTTGGTGTGTCAGGAGGCCCTCTGAAGACGATGGGATGTGGTGGGAGCCTGACCAGCAGCCTCGCTGTGCAGCTCTCACTGTGGGAAGCCCTGGCCCAGCAGGTGTGTGTGCAGGAGCCACTTCTGGAACAGCCTCTGTGAACCCTGCCTGCTACTCCTGTTCCTGTGGTGATGCCCGGGCTCACTCCAAGCTCAGATGCCCCTGTGGTGAGTGGACCTGGCAGCCCTGAAGTGAGGCTCTAGCACTAGGGAGGCTGAGGCAGGATCACTGTGGGTTTGAAGCCAGCCTGGGCTACATAGTGAGTTCAAAGCCAGCCTGGGCTACACAGCAAGGCCCTGTGTCCGATCAACCAATATAAAATAATAAAAAA